GTGAAAAGACACGTTAGCTGGTATACTTCCTTGCCTGGGTTTTCTTCTTACTCTACGACCTGTCTTTCATCTTCTGTTCTCTACTGTTTTCCCTCCATGTTTCCTTTCAATTCCTAGCCATGACAGGCTTAATTGTTCAAGCGTCAATTATCTTGCTTATTAGTCTTGTTACTTATTAAGTTATTAGCTAATACATGATTTTAGGATCTTATTATGGAACTCTGCTTTATTGGACCATTTCACTAATTGGAAATGTTGGACCATTTCACTAATTGGAAATGGAGAATTTTTAAAAATAACCCGTAGACTTTAGAAAAACCCAAGGTTCAACCTAAATTGCAACCTTTGGTTTAAGCTGAAATCATTGTAGAGTACTTGCTGAAAGGAAAGGTTGATTCCTGGGCACAGTTTGATTTATGCTTTATTTTAAAGAAGTTGCTTAAGAAGGATCTGTATTTCTCTCATTAATTTTTATGGGACTGCAGAAGAGTTTTCTTGGAGAAATATATGTTGGCTGTTGTAGAGGAGATATTTCACAGGGTTAAGTTTTATAAAGAAAGTAAGGGGTAATCCGCAAAATTAAGCTAGAATCATCGTTTGCTTCTTTACAAATATTTCTTGATGATTACATGTGATAAAGATGACAGAGTTTGATTATCCATCAATGTTATAGTTAGTGAAGAGTATAGAGTTTGATTATACATCAATGTCATAGTTTATTCAATAGTAACACTGGGTCTATTCTCTTAGTTAAATCCCATTCTATCATTATGTGTGTGTGTGTTGTTTTTTTGTTTCTTTTTTTTTGGGGGGGGGGGAGAGATTTCTAATGGAATCAGTCTATGAATTAACTGCTTGATGGGAAGAATTTGTTACTAACAACTTGGTGATATTAATAACAAATCAAATATTTTTAATCAAGATCGTCAATTTTTTAAGCCTTCTATGGATTTTCTCTTTTAAAAAAATCTCCTTTCTCAGACAAATATCAACCTCAAGTAGATGTATGATTGTAGTAAATACTTAAAACATTATGATCCAGATTCCTAGGTTTAACTAAATAAAGGAAACTGATTTGACCATGGAATTCTAAACATCTTACCAAACTAGGGAACATAAATTCCATTAAAACAATTTCCCAACGAAATCCTCACTTGCATTGTCAAACATGCCCTTGAATAACTCCATCCTAGGGATATTTACTCAGACCTTGTTTTTGTGCTCTTCTACAAAGATTGTGGTTCTCATCTCTGTCGGTGTATTTTCAATCATATTTATATTTAGGGGAAGATTTCTACCCACTTTTAATATTTCACCCACTTTGGTTGCACAGATCTTTGAAGGGTTTATATTGCCAGCTGTGTTTTGGGTCGCAGAATAAAACATAGTGGTAGCGTGATTTAAATAATTGGTTGGTCGGATTCATTTATTGCTTTGTTTTGTTTTTTATTTATTTTTTCCATGCATCCATTTGTCAAATTTATGGAAATAAAATTATTCTTTAGGCCAACTTTAGGTGCTCTTGTCATTTTGTCTTCAAGTAGGTTCATTTGGAAACAAGGTTCTTAATTGGCTTCAGATAAAACCAGGATCTTAATTGGCTTCAGAGAACTTATTTTGCAGTTTTTTACAGTGTTTTCTAAATAAGAAAGGGAGAAGATAGAATTATTCTTGATGTAATGGCTTGTAAGTACGCATTTACCTGAGGACTTTGTTTATGCTTGTAACTATCGAGTTATCTACTTACCCTAGTTAGTAGACTGCTTAATGTGGTTCCTAATTCTAATCAAGTTTTATGGCCTGAGTAACTCAAGCCCACGAGGTAATCGTATTGGAAAAGGTTTTTTATTACTATTTGGATATCTAATACTTCCAAGGACCATAATTTTTGACCTATGCATCAAAGTGCTGCCATAATACTTAGATTAAGGGCCTACTTGACTAGATGGACCTGATCGTGGCCGTTACTTCACCAGAATCAAGTTCTCTTCGTGATCATTCTAATATTTGCTATAAATAATAATATCATCAAAGAACACTAAAATAAACTTACACAAATAGGTCTAAATACCTCATTTATAAAGCCTTTGAATGCAAAGAAAACATTAATGAGGCCTTATTGTAGAGAGGATAGGACTGTTTTTAGAAGGGCTCATAGATGGTTCACCAATTAAATAAGCATTAGTGCAATTTGGTTAGACTTGAATATAATGGTCTTGTTGTTGGTAAATGGGTGTCCCTTATAGCTAAGGACGAACAATGCATCCTCATTGTTATTTTTCATCTTTTTCTTGATATCCAGTTGTTATTTCTCATCGTAAAGAGGTCTGGATTGGTCATTAGAAAAACTATGTACTAAGAGGGCCATATGTTTTCCTCTTTGCCTGGTGAGTTCCTCGTGCCACCATCACTGAGTTCTTTGTGTCCACCATCCATCAATGTATTTGATGACAAGGCTACTCCTAATTTTTTAATAGGTTTATACTATCACTAGCAACTTGGAGATGATCCTTTACCACTCATGGAGGAGTCAAATGAGATATCAGATAGGTGGTCAGGCACAGGGTTCATAATTCAGCCCCATTTGTGTCGAGTTTCAGTTCTTAGAGTCAATTGTGGACTCAATTTTACAAATGGACTAGACCTATAAGTTAAAAGTTTTGATTCAGTGAAGAAGTTAATGATCAATCAAAAAAAAAAAAAAAAAATCATGAGAAGCTGTTGCTTCGGTAGATTTGTTGATATTTCAAGAGTCACGAAAATTGTCAAACAAAGTCAAAACTTAATAAAGAAAGTGAACAAAATAAGCAAATAAAGTCTATTTATGTTCAAGGTCACTTTGCCAAGTTTTCATCTTCAACTTCCTTTAGCTCAAGGGGAGATGGATTGTTTTGTCAGGGATGTTGATGAGATTTGTAACTAGTTGAAAGTTTGAAGAATCGATCTCTTGGGCTCAGTTGATTATATCAGTATTTAAAAGTATGTGGTTTGTTTTGCTTTTTCTTGTGGTCATCATCATCATCATCTTCTTCTTTGATTTTGCGGGGTATGCTTACTGATGTATTATCTCTTAGGTGAAAGTTAACTTTGGAATTTAACTATAAGGAAGTAACTTTTGAATTTTACTATGTATATATCTCCCTCTGGATGCGAAATTTATTGTTAAAATCATATTGACACTCTTTAAAACATTGAAAACATGGGAGTTTTGTGTCATGAGATGCAAACTTGTGTAATGTGATTCATGGGTCACCAATGAAGTGGCATAATATTTTCTTGTTTTGATAAACGAAGTGGGGGCATGAAAACACTTAGCCCCTACCAAAAATTGTAGCGTGTACTCTCTTATCCCAGGAGATACTAAAGTGAACTACCTCCCAAGTGTAATGGAGACAACCGCTCTAGGCCATCGGCTTAATATTGAAACCAGATTGTGAAACATTACTTAGAGGATCCCATTCAACCAAATGGAGAACATCAATGGGCCTTTTTTTAAAAATTATTGTCATGGCAAAAATATCGATTGTCAAGTTTTCTGGATGCCATTCAACCTGGAATTTGATTTTTATTAATCTGAAGATCCAAAGCAAATGCTGAAAATGTGTCTGAAGTAAGAAACTACGATAATGTGGAAATTGGTGAAGCCACCATGGGTGGTGAGGGAAAATGGATATGAATGGGAATGATGCAACTGATATTGAGGGTGTTATGCAGTGTCCGATTATATTAGCCGCCCCAGTTTTAGATCTCCTCCCTGTCAACTGGTATGCTGCTAGATCCTCTATTTGACAGTCGTGAGCATCAAAGGTTAAACTGTGGTTATTATCATCAAGTTGCCCATTAGAAGCAAGGTTCACACTTGGTGAATAGGGTTGAGAATATGTGGTGTGCTTTTTAGTATATTCTGCAGTTTGTCTGTTGGGCATCTTTTGTGTGGATTGGTAAATGACATGGAAACGTTATGCAACTAGTGAGGGTCAGAAACTCAGATATTAAGGATGGGATGCTCTTGGGTGGATCATAAGGTGTTTTGACGTTTTTCCAAATAGTGTGTTATCATTGAACTGAAATGTGGAAGAATGCACCTAGTCACAGAAACTCTGTAGATATTGGCCACTTGTTCAATTAGCATTCCAGTAAGAAGGATTGGTATCGGTCGAAACATTTGATAGTGATGAAACAGATGCTGAATGAAGGAGCAGATGCAGTACTCAACGTTTCAAGGACACCATGCATCAATGGCAGACATCTTGTATGACATTATCAATTTTGACAGTTCGGACATTCACTTAGATGTCACCCAAAAATGTGTTTCTCCATATCATGGGCTCATTTTTCCTGACAAGTGACAAGCTAAGCAACTTTGGTAGAGTGTGTAAAATAAAATTAGAGAGCCTGTTTTGTAGTTGGTTCTTAAATCCAAGAGAAATGCTCATGCTATAGTGAACATACTTTGTGTCCCTCATATCGGCTAATTTAGCCAAAAAAACTGGAAGTATCCATTTTATGGCAAAATGTTAAAAGTTGAAAGTCCAAGACTTTAATCTTTCGTTGAACTAAATCATCTCACATTTAAGTTCATAGATATGCTTAGTTCCGCTGTTTAATGTTATGTTATAGTGTTTCATCTTCTTTTAATTGGAGAGGTGTGCTTAGAGGGGGGATTGCTGTGCTAAACTGGAGAGCTATGCCTATGCTATGGTTTATTTTATGTCATTTATGTTAAAACGGTGAAGTAGTTAGGGCAGCATTGTCTGTACATATAATGCAATGGAAAGGGACAGAAAAAAATTGGCAATTTATTCAAGTTCTATAATTTATTCTGAACATATTTAGAACTTTGGAGTGAGATGGCAAATTTTTTATTTTTTGATTGTTGTATTTGCTAAATTTTGTCGCCATATGGATTATGGATTTTAAAGTTCTCCACAAAAGTCAGAATTTTGCTTGCCTTCCACATGATATATTAACCCAGAATTCTAACTCAGAGCAATGTGCAGGCATTGATGGAGTCATAGGATTGTGCATGACTTCTACAATTGGAGCTCCTATGAGCTCCACACGACACTTGGATCCAGGAAAGTTTTCTAGTTGTAATGCATCACAGTCTTTAGGAGCGGACTCTGGGCAGGTGAGCAAGTGATGGTCTTTAAGACCCTTTCTCTTAAGAATGCAAGTAATATTTGTGATTCGCTCTGGGATCTGCCCTTCTAGTTCTTTTCCTTTGTGTTGCACCTTGAATTGAGGGTTATCTTGGGTTTGAGCCCATTGCTCAATTGGAAGGTTCTTAATGTTTCAACCTTGAGATGTGTGTTTGAACCTGGCTTACCTATAGGAAACAGAAAAAAGTGGTTTTTTTTTAGGCAAGAAACAGAAAAAAGTGTTAATAAGTATGGTATATAATCCTATGCTCCATGCAAAAACCATAGTCAATTGGGTTACTACCATTCATGGAAATGATAGAGAGACAGGGCCCTACTTATAACAGGTCCCACCATTGATCTATCACTGTCCACTGTTCCAATGTACGGTGCGGACCCACTAAACAATGGTTTTCATTTTCTCTTAGTTATTGGATAGTTCACCATTTTAATTATATGCAGGACTCTAGTCTTTTTCTTTATCCCACCAGCTTAAATAATGATCAGTGGCTTATCAACTCGGCTGCTGAACATTTGTATCTCTTCCTTCTGCAAAGCAAGAAACTTGGAAAAGGCTGAAGCCCTAATTATGGACGGTATACGGCTTGGGTATCTTCCCGATATTGTGACCTACAATACTTTAATCGCTGCATATTGCCGGTTTCTTGGTGTCGATGCTGCATACTCAGTTCTTGACAAAATGAAAGAAGCTGGAATCCATCCCGATGTTATCACTTACAATACTCTAATTACCTGTGCTACCAAGAAAAAGCTTATATCACGAACCCTTGATTTGTTCCATGAGATGCTAGAGTCTGAGATTGTTCCTGATGCTTGGAGTTACAACTCAATGATCCACTGTTACTTCAAAGCTGGAAGGTCTGATGATGCTTACCAGATTATCCAGGAAATGTTCTCGAGGAACATTGCACCTACCTTAGCCACATATAATACCATAATCAATGGCCTATGTAAGGCTGGTGACATAGGTGATGCCCTTAGATTGTTTAGGAAGCTTGATGTGCTCTGTTGCCCTCCAGAATTAATCACATACAACATACTAATTGATGGACTTTGCAAGTGTGGCAAGGTGCCTGAAGCGAGAAGGGTCCTCAAGGAGCTCGGGATATTGGGTTATACCCCAAATGCCATAACATATACGACTGTCATAACCGGCTGTTTTCGATCAGGTCAAGCCAATCTTGGTGTTGAGCTCTTTTCTGAAATGAAGCATAAAGGCTACAATATTGATGCCTTTGCATATTGTACAATGATTAGTGCTTTTTCCAAGTTGGGTATGACCGAAGAGGCTTATGCTTACACAGACCAGATGCTTGGCTGTGGGGCCCCTATTGATATTGTTTCTTACAATACCATGATGAATAGCTATTGTAAAGCAGGGGACTTGGTCTCAGCTTTTCGGCTTTTGAATGAGATAGAGGATGGGGGTCAAAAAAGTGATGAATATACCCATACAATACTGATTGATGGGTTGTGTAAGATAGGTGATGTGGATGCCGCGAGAAGGCATTTTAGATATATGGAGACGAGGGGCTTGGGATCGAGCATTGTGGCTAGGAATTGCTTGATTCATGGGTTGTTTAAAGCTGGTCAGGTGGACTTAGCCATCAAGCTGTTTAGTGAGATGAAGGTAAAAGACTCTTATACTTATACCTCTGTTTTGCATGGGCTTTGTAAGGCTAAGAGATTCAATGTTGCTGTTAGGCTTTTGTCGGCTTGCTTGAAAGATGGAGTAAAGGTCCTCAGGTCGGCTCGTCGTGCTGTCTTGGCTGGTTTTAGGAAGGAATCGAGGAAGCTCAAGTCCACAATTTGTCTGGCCAAGGGCTTACATACTTGAGAGTGGGCCTGATCTCTTCCTTGAATTGGTTGTCTGATGCAGCTCCAAGAAATGGCTAAGGTCTTGAGATATCGGGCGGTATCTTTTCCTCGAATCCGTAAAGAAGCTCATCTCCGAGAAATGGGTGTTGAGAAGGTTCAAGAAATGAGGTGAGCTTGCAATATTGAGAGGTGTATTGCCTTGTCTAGAGCCAAGCTGTTATTGTGACTCAAGGAAATTGAATTTTCATGTGGAATGAGGGAAATAGCCTTTAGCCTTTACTTTTGAAGCTATACCTACCCGCCATGGCCCGAAGACAATGAAGAGAGATGTTTGCTGAATTGGTTTGTGATGGATTCCTTGTTGGGAGTTGTCATTGCGGATTTCTCATTAGCTTCTTTCCCAGCTTATTGGTGGACTTTTTACAGGGCAGTTCACAGGAGAAGTGGAGGTGCCCTGTTCATTCAGGCTGACAAGGGGTGATGAATAAGGTTGTTTATCGGTTTGACAAAGTTGCTTTTTGTAACCATTATTTTTATAATGTTGCTTTTTGTAACCGTTATTGTTTTATCTATATCTATATCATTAAGAGAGAAGAGCAAATATGAGTGTGGGTTATGAGTTTTTGTCGTAATTATTATTTTTCCCACTTATTCATTTAAAATCTCTTTTTCTCTGGAAACTCCAATACTTGCTCCTAAAATATGGCTTCCAATCAAATCAATTATTTTTTAATCCCTCCAACTGACCTTAAATCTCTCTCCTTGAACACGTCATACAATAAGTTAAAATGGGGGATTCCTTTCAATTTTCAAACAGCAATATTACCTCAATAAAATCAATATGTGAATTTTAATAAGGAATTAATTAATTAGGTTTCAAACATTCTATTAAGTAATAGTACCATGCACCTGCTTTGCAGCCTTGTACGTCACATTGTCAATTTTTGTTATTGTTAGATATGTAAAGGTAACTTCCCTCTTTATAGCCACACGCCATGATCTAGTCCCCTCTCTAAATTCTAAAATCGCTAGTTCTATTAATTGATATTGCATGCTAAAATAGCAAATGCTATTAATTCTTACAGCTTTAGTTATTTTTAGACATTTTCTAAAATTTATATGTTTGCACTCCCGTGCCTTATATTCATAGAACATTTGTCAGCGTGGGAGCTTGTGAGGGGCATGCGGCGCGCACTTTGCACTTCAAATGCCAGCAACGTCTGTGTACAGGTTCGGGTTCGTTTTGTGGCTCGCCCTATTTTTAGGGGATGCGGTCCAAATTCAAACAGATGCATCAGATGAGTCGGGTGCAATCCAATGGCTACGGTTCTAGCTATTGCGACTGTGGCGCGTATGGGCATAGCTGTTGGTTGTTTTTAACCGTTGATAACTAATGGATTGTGACTGTTGGAAACCCAACAGTCATGTCTTTGTGAACCGTCACCTGTAAGAACACGCTTGGCTATTTTGCTCTCCTAAAGACCACTTAAGAAAAACTTTTGGAACCCAAATTGTGATATCCACGTAAAGTTTACCTATCTCTTAGAAAAATTAAACTCGTCAAATCTAATTGTTTAGAAACTCATAAATCTATTTCCTTCGAAAAAGATTTGATAAATTTTAGGTGGATCCAAAAATTTTGGAGCCAAAAAGTACTCCGAAATGGGTTTAATATCTGAGGAGGTATGTAAAAGAATCACCGAATAATTTTTATAAAAAACAGATTTGGGTGGCCAAGTATAGGTGTTTGAGAACTCAAAATCCAATTTTTATCAAAAACTTCTCATTGCATTTTTGGATCAAGAAAATATTCCTCAATGGATCTTATATGTAGGAGTAAGTGCGCAATGTGATAAGTGCGCAATGTGATCCCACAAAAGCTTGCTATCTTATTTTTCGATCCCACTCTAATATTATGTTATCTATACTATGCTCCTACAATAGCACATTGTCCACTTGCTCCTAAAAGTAAAAAAGTCATTTGGGAGGTTTTTGGATCTAAAATCGTGGAAATATTAAAGATAGCAAATGATTTATTAAAATATAAGACATTTTATACCAAATTGTCCTAGATAAAATTTGTGAATGAACAATAAAAATTGCTAAGTTTGTATTCATGTACCATACTATCTATTAATGCATTAGATAATTTCATAAGTATGAGAAAATGGAAATATCTAAATTGTCTATTCAAAATACTTATGGAGTGCGTGTCCCTCATGTATTTACTCTAGATCATAATTCATGTTCTTTAACACTCAAATTTGATCGCCCAATAATTGAGTTTTATCTATTCAATGTAATACTCTCTAAAGGACATGTAATTTATCTCAACTATCTTAAATTCTTAACAAATGGAATTGAGTTTTGGGAGTTACCCTTATCACTAAAATAATCAATATTATATCTTGATAAGTGGGATTGAGTTTTGGTAGTCACACTTAACAAAAGACCACTTGCTTGCTTTGACCTTCGCAAACCATTAAGAATCGCATCACATCATCGTGAATCTCTCTAAATGTAAAACTTAAAGAGTTTCATGAGAGAGGGTGAGCACTTAGAGGCAAAATCTTTATGATCAAATCATGAATCATATAATTTAACACATAATACTCTTTATTTTTAATTTCAGTCTCTTATTATGCCATCCCTATTAAAAAAATACTAGATGTAGATTATATAAGATAAATTTAAGAAAAATTCCTAAATTAACAACACAAATTGCTAAAACTTTTCCCATGTACTATGCTATCTATAACTGTATTAGATAATTTCTTAGGCATGAAAAGAACAAAGTTCTCTAAATCGTATACTCAAAACATGTGCAGAGGAAGTGTGCCTAGCTAGTAATTTATATAATTTACGAGTCTAGCCACTACAAACATTCCCACGACCTCAAAGTAGTCCACAAATCCAGCCAAGTTTACCAAGATTCGATCACCTGCTCTTTGGCTTGTGAGTCTAAGGGTCACTTATCTAACCCATTCAAGGCCTGGACCAACTATATTGTTTGTGTCATTTCTTTTTGTGAAGAAAAATTCAGTTTACTATTAAGGATTGTCTATAAACAGGCCATTTACATAGAGGTCATAATCATTCTTGTGCCTTGTATTTCAAAATAGGTAATTGTAAGAATGTCATGAAATGAACACAAAGTTTAAATTTTTTTTTCCTAGAACTTCGTAACTCACCTTAAACAATCCAATTTGACATCTAATGACAGTGAAAGATTGTGACTTTCGTTTTTTTTTTTTTCCCCTTGAGACCTTCATGTACAAAGATAAATGGTATCTTTATAGACAATCCCTTGCTATTAACATTCTAAAATAAATAATTAAAAACAAAATATAAAATACGATCAAACTGAAATTTAAGTTTTGTAAACTTAACTACAGGTAAAGGCATAGGCAATGACAATTGTAGCGAACATCACTAGATCACAAATGTTATTCACAAATAAAGGCTGCCATGCCTACTTTAACAACAGTTATAGTAGATGCAGCTCTCTGATGCTATTTTAAAATTTTACTTAAGAAACCATTTCTCACTAAGAGCATTACATCATAGTCTTGAACAAGAAACCTGTGCATTGTATTCAATAAATTATATTGCACCATACATTATTATTTTACTAAAGAAAAGGTATGTCATCAATAAATTGAAGCATACAATATTTTTTTTCTGTAACTAGTCACAAACATATGCAAGCAAGCAAAAAAAGAAAATGAAAATTACAAGAAAGAGAAAACTTATACCATCACAATATCAAATTTATCGAACAATGAAGATTATCAGACCATCTAAATTCAAATCTACAATAATGTTAAAATTTTCAACGAACATCCAATTCAACGTCTTACTGACTAATTTTGGAAAGTAGGGGAACAATAAATTTCGAGGCCCACATAAGTTTTCCCCTTGTGATCCAAAAACCATAGAGCAAGAAGAACAAGATATCAAAAAATAGCATTATAAAAACAAAACAAACCACGTTACTTCAAAGTAGCCAAATGCCATGTGAATTGAAAATGGTGGGTTTTTTTTTTCATATTTTCAACTGATTAAGGTTGGATTCCAATGTTTTCCAACCAGATGTTTCCTTTCTAAAATAAACCCTGAGTTGAGGTAATGATACCTCTTTATTTTGGGGCTTTTCATATTAAATGCGGCGAATTCATGGCCATCATGCAAAATGAGAATCTCCCCTAGCAAAACAGACCACGAAAAGAGACTTGGCACTACTCCATAAACGGATGGTACATTTATATCTGCTCTCATGGCCTCCACCCATTGCTTCCTGTCACCCAAATTACGGCATGAAAGTCCTTTTCGTCCACCATTGTATAAGAAACCATGTCATTCCACTCTCCGAGTGGACAAAACAAGGCGGGATAATGTACATGGAGTATCAATTGCCTCCCATCCCTTGCTCCTCATGTCATAGGATAGTATAAATTCATGATATGGAAACTCATCAAAGAAGCCATACCAGACAGTGTTCATTTTTGCCTATAGGTGTTTTGTAGTAACTTCCTATATATATATATATATATATATATATAGGATCATCTAAACTTCACAACCCTTAAAGATAGAGAGATATACTCAAACTTGAGGTTCATTATCCCCTCATAGGGGTGCACCTAAAAAAGAAAAATGATATTTCTGACAAAATAGAATAACCAAATTACCCCTAAACCTTTTTCAAAGGTGATTTGGTCATTTTATTTTATCGAAAATATTTTTTTTATATTTCTCTTTTCTTGTACCCTTCTGAGTGGATGGCATGCCTAAAATAAGACGTCAATATAGTTGCTTGAAAAAGATTAAAAATAAAATACTTTAAACCATTAGATCAAGATCAAATGGTTAGAAGTTCACTTACCATTTAAGGTTTCCCACTCAAAACCAATTCTTTTATGGATTTCTTATCAACATTTGCAAAGTTATCATTCTTTATCAAGATACAAGCTATGTTTTGCTTTTATAGGATATAGAAAGGGTATCATGTACTTTGTTTTCACAAAACACAGAATCTTTTTATCCTGATAAATGGATTACAAAAGCAAGTGAGGTTATCAGATAAGAAACCAATGTTAAGGTTATGCTACATGGAATATTGATAATAATTTACAGACTGCCAAAGAACCAGAAAAACCTAATTCATGGCATAGAGAAGGGCCGCTGCTTTTGTTGCTAACTCGCAGACTTCTTCGCAATCCTTGTCCTAACTCCTCCTGCATTCATTCAGAAGTATTAAGGTTTGAGAACCCACAAAAGTGCTAACCAAATGCAGAAAACGACAATCGACATCTACAATGTCTAGAAACAGCAAATGGAACTTGGCTATCAAATTGAAAAGCATCACAAACCATCAACTTCCTCGAATTGAACTTCTTTGATGTTATCGGCTGCAGCATAGTACTCAAACCTGCATGATAGGCCCTCATCAGCTCTATTTCCTTAATATTTGTTTCATATCAATAGGCAACATAGTATGACGAAACTTCTTAATTTGATGGAAGGGGGATTAGCCTTTTCAGTTAATAGACTGGGATAAATTTGTTCTTATGAAAGATAAATAATATCCTTGATTTGTAGGGAATAACCAACATACTGTGCAGATTGAAACAGTAGTCAATACTCTTTCATGTCAAATAAATTTTTACCCTTAACAAAACAGCCATTGATTCACCTGGACAACAGTTCTAATATAAGTGAAGTTCTAATTAATAAATTTTTTTCGTGTCAAGGCTGAGAGATGCCCCACCCATTTTTGCCCCTTTTTTTTCCTTTTTCAGTGGGCGGCATGGAATTCAAATGTGGGATGTAGCTGTCAACAGAAGAATCAAGTTGCTCTACCCTTGTCACATATACTGATAGAACATTTAAAGTATATGATGGACAAAATTTTGAAAACTTCAAGCGGACCATTGCTTTCTTATTTCATAGGAAAAAGAAAAAATAATCTAGCTGTAACATATCAAAGAATGCTTACCATTTTTTTTTATTTTTTTTTGTGAAGTAAGCAATTTTTACCCCTTTAGAGCTTCAAAAGAAGTATCCACCTCATCAGATTCTTGTAGCTAGTAATTTTCTGTGGTTCAGCAGCATACTCCATTCAAAAGCAGAAACATTTTTGCAATTTTGGCAAAGTGGTCTACAATGATGAAACTTAGGGTTGAGCCATGACTTTACCTGTTGGAGAAGACAACTTCAATTCCATAGTCAGACTTGTTCTTGGTAGCTTCTACAAGCACTGTGACAATCTCTGTTTTACGTGTACTAGCCAAAAGACAGTCATACTCGCTAGGTATTATAATCGCCAGAAAATTGTCACTAAGCTCACTCAAGCATAAATTCTCAATCGCTGTAAGAACCACTCGTCTTTTAAGGAGAGAAGCATCCAGGTCCAAAATATAGATAGCAAGATCGGTAATCAATAACATCCGGCGCTTAATTTTTCCTGATCCTGTGAACTTCAAGATGTTGTCAGCAAAAAGCACTTGCCTGTCACCTGTTAAAAATTTTATAATGCATTAGCAAGAATTGTTAAACTTGAATGAAAAGGGTAGGTTTAAATAAGGCTAATTTGAATAAGGGTAGTTTTGGATGTAAGTACTTTTGAAATTAACGTGTCAAGTAGTAGTAGTTTGTGAATAAAATCTAACACATCGTCATACTCTGAAATTACTATGGAATAGAATTAAGTATTTTGAGGAAATGAAATAAATGTTTTCAATTTTCACACATTTTCAAAAAAAAAATCCACACATTTTTAAAGCATGCTGAACATAAAAACCTCATTCTAGTATGATTTCCCAGAAAACATATGCTTCAATTGAACCTTTTAATAAGCGAACACATAAGCAGGGTAAATTCTCTTACTTTTCACAAAAGTGAAGATAAACAAAGAATAAAGAAACATTACAAGAGGGCATCCAATATGGGCAACCATCAAAGTAATGTCATAAAATGAACCAATTATACAAATAGGCATGTTATTCTTCATAAAACATCAAAACATGTGTTCATTTAAATAGGATGTAAGAAACCCAAACTTTTCAGGCCATTTCATAACTTATTCACTGATGTAAGAAATCAAAATATTTAACAATTCATTTTCAAAGGATCTAGGCACCCCTCAAAAGCCCACCCAGAAAGGTTGTTAGATGATGAAAAATCATCTGGTTGATTATCTCAACCGCAAGAGGCATGAATATGAAAAAAAAGAAAAAAAAAAAAAAGGGATTTCAAGTCCTAAAAGTAACACGTCTTCTAGCACATTATCTACACCGTCCATTTTCAAAATTTTCAAGTGTTTATATTTCTGCTCAATTTGCACCATCTTTAGATCTTTGAATTTCATAAATAGCGGTGAAAATATATTAGGACTTTCTACTGCCGGAATTGGATCTTTTGGTACAGGTGGGCCTTACTTTGATTTTTTAAGGTTGACGCCTCTTATAAAACGCATCCATACAGACACACACGTATCAATGATTAAAAAATGAACTCAATTTATCTCACAACATCAATCAGAAGGGCAGACAAATACTCCATGGACCGCTTGTTGCTAATGTATGTGTCCATTCAAGACACAAAAACTACCGGGAGTTATTTGCAAGTTGGACCTTAGAAAGGCCAACAAACATGTAGACTAGGAGTTATTGGACTACGTTATGGGCCTTATGGGTTTTGGTCAGCAATGGAGGAGTTGGATATAAGGTCGTTGCATAGTGGCTTCCAATGGTGTTCTTCTCTAGCTCGAGAGGTTAAAGCAATGGGGATCCTCTGTCCCCCTCATTATTCATAATTATTGCAGATGCTTTTGGGACGATTCTTCATGGTGTGTTTCAAGCAGGTCTTCTAACTGGCCTTCAAACATCACCTAATGACTCTATAAGTCATTTGCAATACTCAGATGATACTTTGATTTTCTGCAGTCTGACTCATGTGAAGATCACCAACCTTGGGGTCAGTGCTTTGAAGTTGTACATGGCATGCTAGTCAGCATCCGAAAGACTAAAAAATTATGGGAGTGACTGGTCCATGATGAGGAATTGTTACTTTTAGCTAAGGTTGGTTGTGGAATGGATAGTCATCCAAGCTAATACCTCGGACTACCCCGGTGTTCTCTAAGCCTTATAAAGCTACTTGGGATAGAGTTGTACAAAGGTTTGATAGGGCACCAGATTCTTGGAAATCACATTTTCTGTCCATTGGCAGAAGTATAACTTTGATCAAATCAGCTTTAGCAAATCTACCCATAGATCTTATGTCCCTCTTTTTTTTTTTTTTGATAATGTCCCATGCCTAGATCAATTGTTAACCATTTGGAGAAACTTATGGGGAATTTCCTAAAGTATGGTTCATCTGATAAAATAAGTCTCATTTTATGAATTGGAATCATGGTTGCAAGCCAAAACCTAAAGATGGCCTGGGCACTCGAGAGAGACAAAATCAAGCCTAAAAGGTAAATGGTGCTGGAAGTTTAGTGAGCTAGGCTAACACCTGTGGAAATATGTGATGGCATGCTAGTGCAGGGTAGACGATTTTGGAGACTGGTGAGACATGCTAGACACACCAATGCTGTATCAGGAGCCTAGAGGGGAGTTAATCAAGTGAGAATTATCTTTATCATGAACATGAGAATGCAGGTTTGGAAGAGGGACAAAATAAAATTCTCGAAAGAGTCACCCAAATGGCAGACTGGTGAGACATGCTAGACTGGCAAAGCTTACCTATTGGATTGACTACAGATCCAGAGGTAAGAGTCACCCAAATTGTAGAGAGGACTGGAAATCAGCCTATGTAGAATATAAGATTAAGAAGGCCACTACAGGACAAAGAAATTGAAAGCCTCACCAAGCTCCTTAGCAAGCTTCAGTCGTTCTTCTATAAACCATGAGACAGAAACAACTGCTATGGACATCTGAAACCAAAGGAAAATTCTCGGCCAAATCATTTTATAGAGTACTAAGTACTGACGAGGTATAACTCTCAAGACACTACTGCTCAGAAGGTTTAAAATATCCCAGCCCCACTCAAAACCTAGGTTTTTGGAAGGCTACCCCTAGATAAGCCACTGACCATCAAATCATTTAAGGAAGAAGATATGATTCTCCCGACACATCCATTTCATGTATAAGTTACTTTAAGTTGGTATAGCACTTGCTCTTACATCATAATATTGCCTCCACAATCTGGACTCTCATGTTTCAAATCTATTTGATATCCACTGGGTCATACCCGAAACTATTAAACATTTATTTTCACGTTGGTACACTCCACTTTTGAAAAAGAGGGATTGATTTATTGGAGACTTAACCTACTTGCCATTCTATGGGCCATATGGGTGGAAAGTAGTGGTAGAGTCTTGAACTCACAACAACACTCAATACATTGGCTAATAGATAAGACACAAATATATCTTGGACAAGGTTGCACGAGCAATTTTGGGGACATACGTACTATTGCATTATTTTAAAATCAGTGGCAGGCCAATGCGCGTGTCTACTTGCCTCGTCCCTCCAGACAAGCTACATGTATTCCTACAAGGGAGGGATGAACTAGACTATATCTTGATGAGAGAGTTCATTGGCATCTTGAGGCCATTAACCATCTGTAATTCAAGCGAGGCAGAAGGAAAATCGCTGCTGTGTGGTCTTCGATACTCTAACAGAATTGGGACTTGATTAAAGTAGAAAAATGCTCTGAGAATGTAAACACCGGGTTAGTAGAAGGTCAGACTACCTTCAGATATTTTCGAGGAAATTTACAAAATTACTAGCAATTTCAAGGCCTCATTCAGATATATTTGGATGGAGGCCAATGAGGAGGCTGATTATTTGGACAAGAGGGAAGTTTCCAAATCGACTTTTGTAGTTGCACATTTTGATCTTAAGAGCCATCTTTTGGAAGAACCAAATTCTTTAAATAAAATACAAATTTAAATCTCCTTCTTTGATCAAAGGAAGTAAGTTAATGATGAAAAAGAATATGCAAAAAAAATCCAATCACGCAGAGATCTCCATCCTTTTTCTTAAAAGTGCAAAATAATTACATAAAAGCGGAAACTTGAAGATTTTATACAAAAAGAGTGGACAAACACTCAATTTTTTTCTCCAACCCGCCTCACACACCTAATAAAATGAAATGTTCAACTAAGCTCATGTGCTAAGATATAAAGATGTTTATGCTAAAAATCCAACCAGATACTCACATGATACTTGAGAATATAAAATGATATAAATATCAAGGACAATGTAAAAACTAAAATCCTAGGAATATTATTGGGAATGGGGTCAAGGCATCGGTGGCTAGGGGTGCAGGTGCCTCAACATAACATCCTAGGCTCCCTTCCCACCATTAGCAATTCAAAAAAACAAAATAATAATAATAATATGAATAACATACGTTATATATCTGCAGACATATACAATGATATATAGAATATAATCAAATAAAATATTAATATATTAAAGAGCTGTGGTAGATGCACTATATAACCTATATCGAAATTTATGTGCTAAAGAAGTTATCATGCATATGTATTAAAATATTAACGTGGTGGATAAGATAATCCTATTCAAATCCGTGTCCCAGACAATGAAAAATGTCAAGTTATACCCCTCCCTGTGTACTCATATCTGTATATGCGCAACCTTGCCCATGTGGCCTGAGTGGGTTGCACCCACCATCCCATGATGAATTTGGACTTGGGATTTAGGTTCAGAACTCTGTATGGCTGCCATGCGCAACAATGTTCCCTCGTGCCCAGACTAAGTCACAATTCACAAGGACATGGGAGGAGCAAAGCATGTAAAACTAACTCTCATCCTCGTACAAACATGTGGGAGTCAGGACATAAAGAATACACACATGAACACATAGCGAGGATTCTAGGATAACAAAAACCTAAAATATATACATGGACAATCACGGACTCCATACTCGTGTACTTCAGATATATGTGACCTGGAGTCTACTCGGTAACTCAAAATATCAAATACTTTTTCAATAATAAGCTCAAAATGTCAAATCTACTAACACTATAAGGACATAGAAGAGCGTACCATTTGAGATGAAAAATTCTACAGAATTAAATATGATGTTCTAAACCTGATATATGTAGATCACTAAAAAAATTAAGTCTCAGTAAATGGGTAGAGCCTACACTTGGACAACATAAAGGTACAGTACATGCAACCCCAAAATGCGAGAGAAGCAGAGACATGCACAAGCGAGTGTGTACCACCAATAACACCATGCAGAATGAAATGATGCCTCGTCAAGAAGGTTCTTGGGAGTCAGAAGCTCCAAAGTATTCCCTAGAACAAATGCCTCCAATTTGGAGAAGAGCTACAACAAAACCACGGAGACGAGAAAATTTTGCACTTGGGCTATCCAAGTAAGAGAAATAATGAAGCTAGAACATGCCATAGGTTGTGAAGTCTAGTTTCATTGTAACAAATCCTCCAAAAAAATGACGCAGTCTCTGGACCAAGTCAGACATAACCTGATGATCATCTGAGTATCTCACCGGCAAGTGCCAAACTGTACAATCCCATGATTCATTTTGTTCCCCAACCTACGATATTATAGAAAGACATAATCCTTGACCCTACTAGGTCACCATTATATTCAATATTCCTTCAAAAATTCAACATATCAAAACTTCTCAATGTGCTAAAAAATGGTTGAAACCGGATTAAATTTGGAAATTTTGATAGAAGCACCTAAATTTGGGGTTGTAATCCAAGCATTCCCTTGATATGATAAGAACATCCAAACATAACTGTAATCTTTATATATATCTATCAATATTTAAATCTCAAGGTGCATATCCCAAAGTAGGGTGACTCTCTTGCCTTCGATCAATTCCAGATTTGTCTACCACTTCTCCTATTCTGCCCGAAAATTTGCGAAAATTTGCCAAAAGTGTTCAAATGGATGACCCGCCTTTCTTTTTCTAAACCGTTCTCAAGGATCACAAACGGTTCTCTTTTTCTTTATTTGGTAGCCAAAGGTATCTACTAAAATAGGGAAAAAACAAAGATGAAGAACAAAGGACATCAGAGAGATACCAAGGCAGCAACTCAACAATCTAAAAAAAACTCCTTGAATCACTCACAATTCATGTTATAATGTGGAATGGTACAGAACCTCAAGATAAAGATGACAATTGTGATATTAATGAGAGAACAAGTGACATGAAAAACATGTAAAAATAATTCAATCCTCCCTTGGGTCGCCAAGGTAGAAACTAGAAACCCCTCGTATTGGAATTGATTCCATAAAAATGGAAACTTACTTTGCAGTTCATCAATTGAGAAAAAAGAAGAACTCAGTTGGCATCACATAAAACTTATCATTCCAAAACTAGCTTAATTCACAACAACCATAACCTGACTTATAGAAGAAAAGTCAAAACTGTCAAATGGAATCTCAATATCACATAGCTACAGTCATCATTAAAATTGCAAGGCCAGAGAAGTTGTTATCACTATTCCACATGCTTACTTATGTGGATCAAACACATATTTTTAATTTTCTCAATATACTTGATTAGGATATGAAACCGCACAAGTTTATCCAAGTTTATTCTAAAATGGCTATCAAAAATAATGAATTTCTGCTAACACTTCCAGCAAATGAAGCCATGCAGAGTTTCCATTTTCCCTTCCCATACTTTCACAAGCCTTTCTATGTAACTCTAACTCATAAATCACATGATCACAATTTGAGATATGGTAGCTCCAGATTTTCGTTTAAAACCCAACGCCGTAAAATCTAGGAATTCATCAAATCTGCTCATCTCGCATTAGATCTTGCAAAACCAAACAAAGCAAACCACAATGTGAACAAAAATGCAAGCTAGGGGAACCAAAGATGAAACCAGAAGCCCTAAACTGTCATATATCTGGTTACATATATCAAAATAGAGAAACAAGGAGTCATCAAAATCCCAAGAGTAGGTACCGGTAAAATCCTACAAATTTACACTTCGAAGCAAAAGCCAAAATCAGATCAAATCTCATCATTTTCATAAATGAGAGAAAGCGCAATTAATTGCCATAACATCCAATAACATACAAAAGATCAATATAAAAAGCAGTGAAATTAAGGATACCTTGTTTCTCAAGTATCTTCATTACGTAGGGATTTGAGGGGACATTGAGATAGTCCCCTTTGTACTCTCTGTGGAGAGAAGTCCTTCTCCTCACCTTCACCCCCATGAATGGCTCCTGATCCTCTGTCACACTTGTTGCAGTCTGCCGCCTCAAAACCCGAGAAAAAGAAGCAGAAGCGTCCGGAGGAGGAGGAGGAGGGGGCGCTGTTGCTTCTGAGTCGCCAGCGCCATTGCTGTTGTTGTTATTGGGTGCAAGGGGGGCCTGGATCTGAACTCTTCTCAGGGGCTTCATTCATGGAATTAATGAACAATCCTTCAAATCCAATGCGATGAATCAATCCAAAGTCTCTGAGATCTATCTATGGATATGCAACTGGTTTTTCAACCCCGTTTATCCCAATTCTCTCCTACCCTAAAAGGATTCTCGTGACAATCTCATCAAATTGGGGTTTAAAATTATAGAGAAGGATTCTCGTGTTTATATTATGAATCTTGATAAACATTGAGATTGGTATGATTTCAATTGAAATTCAGACATCGCCTTAACCCTCTCTACCTTGATCTTTGAGGAATGTTTTATTGGGCCCGATTCTTCTCCACCTTACAGTTAATCTCTCCCTCTAATACGCACGTGAACGAAAGTGTCCACATGTTCTTGGATAAATAGTAACGATTTAAAACTTTTTAATTAGGGAAAAGATCCTCTCGGCCCAAGGGTTTATTTTTTCTGTAAGATGTAAGGGGTCCAGATTGAATTTGGGCAGATCTGACGATCCTAAACGTTCAGTAGTATTTATTTATTTATTTTTATTTTTTTTACAAATCTGATTGATATGAAATTTGAAACAGATGTACATAAAAAATAAGTAAATCTTCAAAATGTGTACATAAACAATAGGCCAACCTTCGAAAAATATAAAAAACTTATTTTATCTAAAAAATGACCAAAATACCTTTATAAAGTTTTTGGGGTATATTTGATCAATTTTGTTTTTACGAATTATTTTTTTTATATTTTTATTAGGTGCGTCTTGATGAGAAGAATATACACCTAAAATTTCAAGTGATTTTGATTTATAAAAAAAAAATTAAAATTTAATCACAAAAAGAGATCGTGACCATCAGATCGATCCAGATTCAATCTGAACCATTGACATTTATTGTAGCAATCAGCTAGTGGGCATACATGTATGGACATACAAAATCCACCCCTTTCTAGTTATTACCATCAATTTACTTAACTCCTTATATTCTTTTACGTAACTCACGGTCTTTCTATATCTTGCCATCCTCATCTATGCACGTTTACAATAGGAGTCCCACAATTTTTAGAAGAACCCACAAGTTTTCGGTCTAACCTTTCTCTTTCAAAGTTAGAAAGATGGCTTGTGGGTGAGAGAGATAGTATAGAGAAGTCCGGAATGAGAATGGATCAGGTCGGGATAAGCTTGACCCTGATCCTGACCCGGTTTATGCCCAAGTCTATTGGACCCAAACTCAAACCCATCTTATTTGGGTCTAGGTCTAGGTTAATAAATAAAAAGTCTATAAAAATTATTTTAAAATATATCATCTTTATATTTAGTATTTTTTGTAAGCAACTTATTTTATATATCAGGGTCGGGCTATCCTCAATCATTACCTGACCCGACCCAATAGCATATAAGCTGGACCAGGATCCTGACCCAACTAGGTCAAGGTCAAGTGATCGTAGACCCACCTATTGGGTTTGACTGGGTCTAGACCCAGACCTAAGTCTAGTCAACCCATTGGATCCAGGGGTTGACCCAACCCACCCCTAGAGAAGTGCATCTAAAAGCACTTTTACTAGTGAGGTTGATCTGTATAGGTCTTGTTGAGAGTCATCTCCCTCCCGCACACACCGGAGGGGCCAAGCCGGGGCAAACACCACACAAGATCTGATGACCTTATTCTCAAGTACTAAGTTGAAAACAATTAATTTGTTTAAATAGTTGGTTATAGATAAGGGCAAGCTTTCTATGCTTCCCTACTTCTTTAGTATAAAACTTATATATTTCCCCTTCTCTAACCTTTTCCCCACAACATAGAACTTATATACGTCCCCTTCTCCAACCGTCTATTATGAATGGACGGCTCAGATGGCCCCAATCACAATGGCATGTCTCTACACTATTTTATTTTTAATTTGTTTCTACAAAATATTTTAACACCAAATTTTGAGCTTCCACTCCTCGAACTCGCACATGTAAAAATATTAAAACAATATTCTCGATAAAATAAAATACCTTTGAAAGATTCAAGGGGTGTTTTAATCATTATATTTTATCAAAAAATTCTTTTTCATATTGTTTTTAGGTGCACTTCATTGAGAAGATGACATGTACCGAATTTCACATTCATATAATTTGTAGAAAAATTAAAAATAAAATACTCAGAGGTATCGAATCTAAGATCAAACGGTGAGTGACTCACTTGATCTAAATTGAATGATTGGATAGGAGAAAGTATATATCTTCCATGTTGTAGGGGAACTAAATATATATTGATGAACTTAGACCTTCTTGTTGGACATTCTTAGGATAAAGCCTAGATATTATCTTTTAACTTCTATAAATATGAGAATTTATCGCTTGGTCTTTATTAGTGCATTAACAGGAGGCATCACTTTGGGTTCTGTTGCCTGGATCTCGAAAGGTTTCTAAATATGTGATTTCCTTGAACCTTACTATCTGTTTGATTTCATGTGATCTAGTTTTGGTGCCAAATGAGAGTCTTATGGTAAACTAAATCTCATTAATTTAGCAACTTATCTATTTCTAGAGAGAATGGGAGAGGCAAAATATGGATCATGTACCTCCATGGGTATTAGAAATGGGCAAGATTTTTATGCTTCCCCTACATAATAGAAGTTTTATCCTCCCTCTTATCCAACCGTCCATTCTGAATGGAGGGCTAGATTGCCCCAATCATAATGCCACATCTCTATACTATTTTATTTTAATTTTTTTTTAAAAACTATTTTGACAACAAATTTTGGACATCTAAACTCGCACTAGCGAAAATATAAAAAAATATTTTTAAAAAATAAAATGACCAAAATACCCTTGAAAGCTTTAAGGGGTATTTTGGTCATTATATTTTATCAAAAAATTATTTTTAATATTTTTTTATAGGTGCACCCCAATGAGAAGATGGTATGTATCAAATTCATATCCATAAAATTTGTATTAAAAAAACGAAAAATAACATACTGTGAGACGTCGGATCTAAGATCAAACGGTGGGTGGCTCTCTTGATCAAAATTGGACGGCTGAATGGTAAGAGGAGGATAGAACTTCTATTTTGTAGGGGAAGCATAGAAACCTTTCCCATCAGGAATAAACTTTCCAAACAAACTCTTTGCAGTCTATCAAAATGGATGCGGTTAGCAAGCGGTCAACTTGCATATGGTAGAAATTCACTCTTGGCAATAAATAGATGTTTTAAATATAATTTTTTCTTAATTTTTGGAGAATATATAATCTTTAACGTGGAGATCGTGAATATGAAAAAATTAAAATTAAAACTAAAAATAATAACGATATTAAAAAAACATTTGGACCTTACACTTGTTTTCAGATGGACCACCTATTTGCATCCATCTTTGAGATGGATGCTTTATACCTCTGGACCGCATATTGTAGAAATGCGGTCCAGCCCGCATGAAACAATTTTCCCTTATTTTGTGCTAAACTAAATCTCATTGATTTAGGATCTTATCTATTCTAGAGAGAATGGGAGAGGCAAAATGTGAATCACGTCGGCCTCCATGGGTATTAGAAATAAACTTTCCTTATGGGTATGTTTATAAAAAATGGATGAGGTTAGCATGCGGCCAGCCCGCATATTATAGGAATGTGGGATTGGCAATAAATATATATTTTTAGGAATAATTTGTTTTAACATGGAGATCATGAATTTAAAAAAAAATAAAAATAGAAATAATAATTATATTAAAAAACATTCGAACCGTTAATTACAATTGTTTTTAGATGGACCACCTATTTGCTTCCATCTTTAAGATGGATGCTTTATACCTATGGATTGCATGTTGTAGAAATGCGGTCCAGCCTCATGAAACAATTGTTGATAAAAAATAGGTATTAGAATCTCTCGTATACACATGCGCGAGCACGAGAATTAGTTATACCAAAAAGTATCCATATTACATTGTGGAAATTAATCTCCATCCTTTTTCCTACATTCAATTAGCACCTCTAAGTAACCTCACAATTTCACGTCTAGTGTCCGGACATAATTGTGAGGCATCTAACATCAATAGCAAATGGTGCTATTACTTTATTTCATTATATAGTATGACATGTACCAACTTCAGTAACTTCAATTTTAACGTGAATTATAAGGCAGAAATTGTTGTGGAAATTTTTTTTCGGTAATGATACAAAAGCTATTGTAGCATATCTGAAATCTCATGTGGTTAACACGAGGTAATACCTATATTTGGATCCATTTTTGAGTTTTAATATGATGTACTACTGTAGGGAAAACTAGTATAACTGGAGGGAAATCCCAGTGGTGTGTTTGGATTTTTTGTAAATTTTTTTTTTTTTCTCTCTCTCTCTCTCTCTCTATATATATATATATATATATATATATATTGTAAGTCATTAGTGAACTAATGACATGTGTAGCTCGTTATATAGGATTAGCAGTTTGGTGACAACTTGTTAATCTTAATTAGCTGCTCTTGAGGGAATTAATGCAGGAGTTATACTTGGATATCAATTCCTATAGACCGTGATTGATACAGTTACAAAAGAAGTGTATTCTTTATAAAAAGAGGTTAACTCATCAAGAAATATGAAGAGAAAAAATAAGAGAGAAAATGATAGAGAAGGATGAACAAGAGATACGCAAGATGAATGAGATAGCTTAGTTTACAGGATTTGGTTTTAAAACATTAAGTCCCTCGTGTGATTTAAGGACAGATCTGAGTAAGTTGTATATTTATTTGTTTATTTAGCATTGAGTATTTTTTGGATATTACTTACGGTGTTATTTTTTTTGTACTAGAACCAACATAAATATATAAAAATGATGTGCTTTGTACGTGTGGGGATAATAGCAAGCGTAAGAATGGCTTGTGGCCATGATGGTAGTATTGCAGAGCCCCACGGTGAGGTCTCTGATTCCATTCTCACCAAAGGGTGGGGGTCCAAATCCCCACTAACTTACCACTTTTTCACCCAAAAAAAAAAACAAAAACGATATCAGTAAGCACCTCACAAATATAAATAACAAAATGATAGTAGACTTCACATAATTTTAAATAAATTAAATGGGCAAGCTTTCTATGCTTCCCCTACAACATAAACTTATATACTTTCCCTTATCCAACCGTCAATATTGAATGGAAGGCTAAGATTGCCCCAATCACAATGTCACGTCTCTACACTATTTTATTTTTAATTTTTTTTACAAACTATTTTTTCACCAAATTTTGGACGTCTAATCCTCTATTAAACTTGCACTAGCGAAAAATATACAAAAAATATTTTCAATAAAATAAAATGACTAAAATACCCCTGAAAGTTTCAAAGGTGGTCATTATATTTTATCAAAAATTTATTTTTAATATTTTTT